AAAAAATGAGATTTTTGCCACAGTGTTGATAAATTGAGAGGTCGGTCTGTGTAACATGTTTCCTCCCATTCCAAGATCTCAGGTCAAAACAACTGCATCTCTTGATTCCCCATGTAAAACCACACAGAGGTGACAAATAGACAAATTGTGTGCATCAACTCACAACCAACTCTCTTAGAAGAGCAATTTATCACATTTATTCACTCCCCATAAAAGCACGTTGCAGCTTCCGTACACAGACTCCCTCTGCCTGAGCGAAGCCGTCAGCCATTTACATTTACTCGTGTTAGTCGAGTGAAGAAAATCCAATATTTCAGCGAAAGAAAAAAAAGGCCGAATGTTGCAGGGTTACAAATTTTATAATAATTACAATAATTTACAAAAATGAAAATATTAACATAACTTAGCTTCCATGATACTATCAGACTAAGGCTGAAACTGGCGGTTATCTTTTTTAATTAGTCACTTTACCTGATTATTAGCCAGTTAATGAAAACTCCAATTGTTGACTAATTGTCGTTGCATCCCTGATCAGTATTCTTCTGTGATATGTGACATTAGCAAGAAGAGGTTAATGACTTAAAGACAGGAAACCAATGCACACATGTGCTCACTGACTCATATGAAGCATTTGAGCTCCAGGTTTTGTAACGCTGCAGATATGATTAATAAAAGGAGATTTTGAAGATCCAACCATCAAGTCGAAGCTTCGAATTTGTCCTTTGTTAAATTGACACTTTCGTCTTTTTTTTCACATCCACGAGCATCACTCGGCAGATGAGTCAAGTTAAAAATAAACCGAGTCTAGACGAGCTTTGTACAGAAGACATTTTCATCCAGGGGTAGCCATTAATTTGTGCAAAGATAAACTTCTGATGCCATTTCATTAATTCTGTTTCTCCTTCTGGAATCAGTGAGTTGGAATAAAAAGAAGACGTGTTTTATAGGGCTGACCACAGTTTATGACTGATTTCCCAGCTGCAGTGGTAAATAGATGTATTTTAAAGATTATATATAAAATGATGCATCTGATAATCCTTCACTGACATAGCTTTTTAGATACCTTTCTGTGAACTGGGACGCTGATTGTGTCCTATTCAGTGTCTGGTTGCTCACTCTGACATTCGTGGGCGGTTCTGGGGGCGAAGGGTCTGCATAGAGACACAGAAAGAAAAACATATAGTTAGGCAATGTTGCAGTTCTTTTTTCTTTCACTTCACTTGACCCCTGACCTCTGCTGAAGTCACTGGGGTCCCAGTGAAGACAAGGCCATCACCCTTCTCCAGTTCTCTCTGTCCTCCACAGCTCTCTGGGACTCTGCCTGTCCACTCTTGGATGTTGTCCTCCCATCTCTTTCTCTGCCTACCTTGTCAGCTCTCTCCTGGTGTGTGTACGAGAGGGTGGGTGAGAGCAGACAATCCAGGGGGAGTTCAGCTGTAGGACCAAACCAGCTGCCTGTGTTTCCATTCATGAGAACGGCGCCTGTGGCCTTATCATCCAGTCGTTTGATGACTCAAACAATGTTAGTGGTCCCCACAGCCAGCTGCAGCAGATGGCCCCGCCCCTCCCTGAGCCTGTCTCTGTCGGAGGTTTCTTCCTGTTAAAAGGGAGTTTTTCCTTCCCACTGTTGCCAAAGTGCTGCTCATAGGGTTTTTTTCTGTAGGGGTTGCTGAAGCCTGCCTGTTCTTCAGCAACAATAGACTGCTATTGACACAACACCTTGGTTAACACTGTCACTGACTTAACATGTTACTATTTAAGTAGAATTACATAAAATAATGTCAGATTACTCAAAGGACCTTTTTTTTTTCTCAACCAAAATCCTTTAGCTCACATTAAAAAGACATTAGTTTATTTAAAGATTCCAATAGGACACCTTAAAAATATTCTATATTTGTTCATGTATTTTTTTTTACAACTATTAATTGCGTAAAAAAATCATAAAATTTAATTTTTTTTCTTCTGATTAAAACCGCAGAATCTATAAATTTGTTTTCATTTTTCTATATTAACTGTTAAAGTTTAACTACTGCACACAATTATCTCTTGCTTCGTTTCACTCACAGCCCTTGAAGTTTTATGTTTCCAGACATCAAATTTGGACAGTGGAACATCCAAAAAGACAAACTGTGATTTTTATTTAACACCAAATTAATGTTAAAAAAGGTAACATTGCACATTGTGTTTTCTCTTTGGCAAAAAAAGGAAAAATAGCACAGTACAAGCTAAAGGCTTAATTTTTGTTGCTGGGTGTTAAAACCTGTTAATTTGTTTGTGTAATTTGTGTCTAAAGTTGACACTTTTGCAATTTAAATTCTGCCAAACTTTTGATATCAACAAAAGGGAAGAGGAGAGGAGTGAGTCCTTTGCAACAAAGGCCTTTTACCAGCTTGACTTTCTTTTTCTCGGGGCTAAAAGCACATTTCCTCTTGGTTTGATTCAAGTCTACAGAGCCAATTAGATTTAAAGCATCAAAGGTGGGTGATACTGGAGAAACCTAACGTCCTTTTCAGTAGCTGCCACAACACAGACCAAAGGCCATCACTGCTGGTAACCGTATGAGTCTTTCAACAGTGACTCTGTATCTCATTAGAGCCCAAAATCCCTGATCCTGTATTTGATTAAAACTACAAAATGCATCTGATTAGAACTACATCCCCCATGGCAGGCCTCCCACAGCCCCAGGCTGTGCTTGGCTGACCTAAATGCAAAGATCAAAGTTGGGGCAAAACACTGGAAACTCCATGACCAGGACTGCTTGTGCGTATGCATACGTGGTGTTTTGTGTTACATCTCAGTGCCAGCAGTAATTGCCAGATGAGAATCAAAACCTGTTCTTCTCTGAGGGCTTTTCCCGTCACTCTCAATGAACTCAATGAATGTTTTATGTCATAAAGTGAAGACACCAAGATTACTTTTCTGATCCAAACATCCCTTCGTGATTACTACTGGCAGGTCCCACGTAACACCAACATTTTAACAAGATGTAAAGCGGTTTCCAAGTTTCACTCTGGTTAGCGTCAGGTCACCGTGCAGAAAGCACAACCCTCTTAACATCTGCCAGCTTCCGGATTTGTGACCCCTGACCTCCAACCTCTGACTAATCAGACTAATGAGGTAGAAACAAGACTCTGGCTGCCATCTGATGGTATTTGAAATGTTCAAGTGTGGCTCTAACCTTTAACCCTGGTTCTCAAAATACACTCACAAACACACACCGTGTCACAGAAGAAGAACTCAACATTTCGACACTGAGCTATTGCCTCTTGCTTGCACAGATATGGATTTTGAAGACTGATCACCCTTATTTAATTACTTTTTCTATAGGAAACAGCCTGTTAGGTTTGCTTTGCATTAATACCATGTCTGTAAACTACACCATGTGATGGTGACTTAGAGGAGTAACTTCTTAAAGCCAGTTAACTTAGCAGAGCATAAATCTAGCTTGAAAAGCTAACCTGGTTCTATCTGATTTACCAAAAAATAAAAAGAATTAGCACCTCTGAAGGTCATTTCATACAAAAGTAAGCCATCTACAGAGAATTCAGGAAGCTACTCTTCCCAGCAAATAGTCCCAAATATAACGCCCTCATAAAACACTAAGCAGTACGCTAAGCCTGTTTAGCTGGCTGCCAGCAGCAGAGTTCAGCCGGTGTTAAGCTTCTGCAACACCTTTGCAAAGAGGGTATTCTGGGTCGCAGAGGGGCCGACCTCACAAATCTCAGCACCAGTCGATCCAATATCCTGTTGGAAAGTTTCCTCTCCTTTTCGGTTTCAGAGCGCGGACAATTTGAGCAGAGTGCAGGAAATAAAATCGTTTTTAATTTAACATTATTGGGCATCTTATTATCGACCCGTCCGCATTTGATGAAATCCAAATTCTCTCGCATTTATTGCACACGCTCAGCGATTTGCTCGTCGTGTCCACAAAGCGATACGTTAACTTGCCTTTTATCACAGTTCTACCTGCAAATATCTTCTGTAAAGCCCAGCTACAACCCCGCTTACAAACCCTGCACTCTGCTTGCCACGGCACAGGTTGAAATGTTTATAAAAATTTCGTCGGAGAGGTGGAAAATGCTATCTCACACTGCTCTTCATAATCTCCCTTAAGTGTTCAACTGATAAAGAACCTTTTTCCACAGCTCCGTCCAACCTGAAGTCATTATTCACATTCAAACATGCTCTAGCCAATCCTGGCAGTGAATTCATATCACTAGCCAATCCTGGCAAAATACCAGTATGACCTAAGTCTGCTAAGCATTACAGCTAATACCTCCTACAGTGTGTGCGTTCGTGTGTGTGTGTGCGCTTGTCTTACTCTCACTTTCACCCAGTCTCTCAGACCTACATCAGGGACTTCACTCTGGCATCAAACCAACGGAGCGAGTCCTTACGCTTTGTGTAAATGCGTGCATGTGTGCACACTTGTGTACATTTCGGTTTCCTGCTTGTGTTTTATAGACTGCCTGACAGTTTTTTACCTTATCCATCAACTCTGCGTGAACGACAGAAAGAGCACAGAAAGGGAGAGGAAGGGAAAACATCCTGACTTTCTGACTCCTCCTGCGGGATGTGTAATATCTCTCATAAAATGACAAAAAATGAGTGCAAGGATCTGTGTTTTGCTCAGTGTCTCATGACAGAATATCAAAATTCACCGCTAGCTTATGGCAACATGCAGAGGCATCATCACTCACTTTGAGACGCTCATAAAAAACGAAGTATGTGTGCTTACCTTTACTGGAGATGTAGTGTTTGCTGGGTGTGGTGAAACCTCTGCTGCCGTGGCTGTTGATGGCTGCCACTCTAAACTGGTACCAACGCTGAGGTCTCAGATCTGACAGAATCGCATCTTCAGAGAGTGTCTAAACACACAAACGCATGGCACAATACGCAGGCTAGGTTTTTATATTTTAAGACATACAGGGCAGTGCTTACATCTCACCAGGAAGATATCAGATTGGCTCCAAAATCATTCTGCAGCATAACAACAGACCAAGAAATACATCAAGAGGCATGAGGACTATATGAGTTCTGCAGGAGACGATATGATCCCCACAGAGCTCTGATCCCCAACATCATGGAGTCAGACAGGCAAACATACAGAGGGGATCATTTTCAGAGGAAAAACAGTCAAGGCTAATATTGATTGATCTTTTTCTTTACTCCTAGTGTCTGTGCGAGTTAGAGGAATCATTTAAAACTATTTTTTTAAACACTCACTATTACAGACCTTTAAATCTTGAAAAATAGGCTTTTGTTTAAAAAAGAGAATATTCACTGAACTAGTTTAACACTCATAAGTTTTAAAAAGAGTGATGGGTCTCTTGCAACTGCATGCATGGGCAGCTGGGCCCTGTAATATGAATTCAGCATACCCCGGGTATCCTCCTGTTATCTGGGTTCTCGCACTCTAACACTGGCGATCAGGATAATCAGCTGCTTTGTCTGCAGCTGTGTGAGGTATCTTTGACCCCAGCGATAACGCCGATGTTACCTGGATAAGATAAATTCCCGTGTTGGCCTTTGGTTAGCTTTGGTTAACCCCTGACAGACTGATGTTGTTCTTCTCATTTATATGAATTAAGGTGGGCTAATTAAATGACACGACACAAACTGCATCCTCCTAAACACCTCTCTAATACGATTCTAATCAAAAGCAGAAAATGACTTCTTTCAGGAAGGATTTTTGAGTGTTCAGCTGCAAAAACAAAGTTGTACATCCTGTCAGATGATGTCAGATAAACACTGTCAGGCTGGAATTCCTCTGATAGTGTTGAAATGAAACGGTTTATCCAAACTATGGTTAAAATCTTTAAAGATTAATTTGTTTTGTCTCCTTGACAGTGCAAATGTGACTGCTGCGGCTCAAATCTACTCATCCACAGTCGCACACACACACTCACAAAGACACGAGCTGCCATCTATTTAAGTCCATAATGAGCATTCAGTCATTCAGAGTCAGCCGGAGGAATGACTGTGGCTGCCTGTGGTTCCTTTTTAAGCTCTGCTTATTTACCTAACCTCACACAGACATACATGCACACACACACATGCACACACAGACAGACATCACACACACACACACACACACACTCACACACACACACACACACACACACACACACACACCCTCACACACACACACAGAGCGTTTACCCTGGCAGAATGGGAGAATGACTGGGGTGGAGAGGTTTAGACAGCAAGGCAGCAGACTGATGAGGTGGAAACTAAGTCTAACATCCATCTCCATAGCTGAGAAGTTTCATCATTCAAGGCAAATTGAGAGTTATGAGGTAAAGATATGTTACAAACTTTGTGGGGCGGCTCCACTTTTAAAGGCACAGGGAGCCAGTTTTACAGCCCGAATGACTCTACAACTGTCCCAAATAATCATCAATAATCATCACATCATGTAACAACCCCCAATAACAGACACAAACATAAGGCTATTATTAGGACAAGTCCCCTCCTTAGTCTATGATAAGTTTACTTCTTAATTGTTATGTAAATATCAGTTTTTCTCACTACTTAATTAGCACATGGAAAGTGACTATTAACCATTTACCATGGCTACAGTAGCCCATGGAGAGGCGTGGTCTTCACTGGGGTGAATGCCGATGTTCCAGCGGGACTGGAGTATGTAAACGACGGGCTCCACGCTGACATTGAACTTCGACACCCACATCACCTTCACACGACCCTCCGAGTCCTCCAAAAAGCTAATGTCTCTTCGAGGCTTCAGAGGGACACCTGCGAGGACAGACCAGGTTACAAGCTTGTTGTTACATATCAGTATAACTCACTTGACTAGTAACATACTGACATTACAATTAGATGACACAGAAACATTTGGACAGTTATGGGAGTTCCCGGGACGACTTAGACACACACTGTGATGCATTTTGCCTTATTAAGTCTAATAACTGGGGTCTAATTACTCATTTACAGTCTATCTATCAAAACCACTTGATAGGACGATCAGTAACAGCTACCACATTATGCTTCACACAAACTCCAAAAGTTGCCTTTACCTTTGTACAGATTGGCTGGGGCTTGGCAAGTATGTCCACAGCTATTGGAGCAGCACTTCCTGGGGGAGGGGCAGTGCTGGTCTGACGAGCAGCTCTCCACGCAGGCCGCGGCAAATCCTGTGGCTCGCTGAGGCGGAGGGCAGTCTCCCTGACGAGACGACCTTAACGAGGCCAGAAACTCCCTGCTTGTCACACACTCTGTCTGCTTCTGAGAGTAAAGCACGGTGGGTGTAATTATTATTACAGTTGACACATCACAGAAATAACACACAGTGTATAGGAACACACACGAGGCCACAAAAACACACAGTAAGGGTGAAAGCGCTTCCTGTGGTATACTCCTACTGTCTGTTTAAAGGCTGGTCCAAAAAGCTACATGTGTGTGCTTGTGCATGCGTGTGCATGCGTGTGCATGCGTGTGCGTGCATGTGCGCATTTCTCTGTTTGTGCAGACAGCTGTAGATCAGGAAAATGTAAACACAAGCTTTCACTAATAGCTCTGAATTACCCTGTGTTCATAACCAGCGAGCCAATCAGCCATCCAGCGAGTAACACGCTTCAGCTATTGTGATGAAAAACTAATCTCTCAGAAAGCCACAGAAACCGGCTTTACAAATAAACAGGCCACACACACTCACACAAAATGCACATAAAACTGTTGCACAGTGTCCCATGTATACTAGAAGTGCACAAAGCTTTATAAAAACACACACAAACGCTCATTTATTGCACAAGGTCAAAACAGCTTTGTGGTGCCAACAAAAGCGTGCGTCTGCAAAGAACGACAATGCCACCGAGGCTGCCGAGACTTGCACAAGAGCACAAAAATGCCACGCGCTGTTTCCGTCTTACCTCGCAAGACTTTGGAGATGCCACCTTCCTGGTTTCCCACAGTTCTTTGCATGGCTGAAGGCACTACACATAACCCAACACAATGGAAGAAAACAGAAAAAAACAAAAAATTAATAAAATAAGAAAATATGCACGAGGCACATTTCAGCATTTTAGCACATTCATGTAGATTCCTGCTCAGCACAAAAGCTGGAGGCTCCATCCAAATCGAACCTGCTAACACCTGTAAAGATTCAAATTAAACATCTGTAATGTTTCCGTGATGCAGGGTTTATGTATTTGGACCATTTGATTCTGGTTTATTTAATATTCTAAAGTTCATCTGACGTTCCTGGTTTTGGTTCTTATTGTTGTGTCTCTGCATTGTGTAGTATTTGTATATTCTGATCTTGGTTTTGTCATCTAGCCTTTATGGTTCTTTTTCCGCCTCCCCCGTGTTCCACGTTTCATGTTTAGTCACTCTTGTCTTCGTATCTGTTTATCTCTTATCTCCTCGTGTTTTGTGTCCCCTTGTCGGGTTACTCCCTTGACTCGTGTCAAGTTTGCATGTCTCCATCTTGTTGTTAGTTTCAAAGTCTCTGTCTCGTGTGTCAATCGGATTAGTGTCAGCTGTGTTCCCACCTGTGACCCGTTCCCGTTCGTTATCCTTTGTGTGTATATGTAGTCTCAATCAAAAGTTTAAAATGGCAAAAAATGCATCGTTTTGCATGGTTGGATCTTAACAAGGTTCCAAGTAGAGCTTCAATATGCAACAAGAAGAAAGGGGAAGGGCGTCTACTGTCTGGAACTGTTGTCCATTTCTGTAAACTTCCCTTGTCATCCATCCCCAAAGGTTCTCAATTGGATTTATATCAGGGGAACATGCAGGATGGTCCAAAAGAGTGATGGTACTCTCGTGGAAGAAGTGCCTTGTCCTTTATGGCGATATTTACTGTAGTGTTGTCCTGTTGAATAACCCAGTCGTTACCACAAAGACGAGGGCCCTCAGTCATGAGGGATGCTCTTTGCAACATCTGGACACAGCCAGCTGTTTGAAGCCCCTGCACCTCCTGAAGCTCTGTTGTTCCACTGAAGGAAAAAGCACCTCAGATCATTATGGCGCCCCCTCCACTGTGGAGCGTAGAAAACATCTCAGGTGGGATCTGCTTGTCATGCTGGTAACGTTGGAAACCATCAGGACCATCGAGGTTACATTTGTTCTCGTTAGAGAATAAAACTTTCTTCCACCTTTCAGTGTCCCATGCTTGGTGCTCGCTTGCAAAGTCCAAATGATCAGTTCTGTGGCGTTCAAGGAGACGAGGCCTTTGAAGACATTTTTGTGTTTTTGAAGCCCTTCAGTCTCAGATGCCGTCTGATGGTTACGGGGTTGCAGTCGGCACCAGAAACGGCCTTAATTTGGATCGAGGATCATCCAGTGTCTTGACGGACAGCCAGTTGGATCCTCCGGCTCAGTGCTGGGGACATTTTTTGGATCTTCCACTTGAGTTTTTGTTCCATAACCCTCAGGATCATTTAAGAAATTCCAAATGACCGTCTTACGGCATCCCATCTCAGCAGCGATGGCGTGCTGTGAGAGATCCTGCTCATGCAGTTCAACAACCCGACCACATTTAAAAAGGGAACGTTTTTGCCTTTGCCATCATGAAAGTGTGACTACTTGACAGAAAAGGACAATGAATCCACAGATTCACCTTTTAAAGGCAAGTGGTCCTAAACTGTTGATCAGCTGTAGATCAGCCTGTTTCAGTTTAACAGTTGTTTTTAATAAATTGCTCAAAAACATGTTTTGTCTCACTCCCCTTTCTTCTTGCTGCATTTTGAAGCTCGACTTGGAACCCTGTTAAGATCCAACCATGCAAAATAGGATTTTCTGACATTTTTCAATTGTTCTTAAACAGATCGGGACTGTATTGTCACTCCCTTATTGTAAGTAGTGGTTCCGACTGTTTGGTTTCCCTCTCTGTCAGTGACTCAGTTTATTTTGTTTTGTGACGTTATGTTGTTGTTTTTGTTGCCTGTTTTTTCAGCATTGACACTGTGATTTTTAGTTCAGTTCTGCGTTGCTGAGTCCTGCGTTTTGGGTCCATAACACTGCCTGCCACACACCTACACCTGCAGATATGACAACATCTGCTGTAATTCATGCGCAATCCATTACCCACTCTTTCTGGCACAGAGGAGTGTCTTTTTCGTTCCTGAGCTCCAGAACGACTCACAGAGCAGCAAATTGTTGCTCAAACTCACTGAGAGATGGTTAATGAGCATTAGACGTGTTGGCAATCTCACTTCATTACCTACACCATGCTAGCTGTTTCCAGCCTCCCTGCACATCCAGCCTGACCTGCTAGAGTGTAACCTCTCCTCTACGCCAGAGGGGAATGAGCACATTTCCCAAGCTATTCCTTGAAAATGGCTGAGGACTAAAGAAATATTAGCAAGACAAATAATAAATAACAAAGTGTCAGATGGTTTTAAGATTTGTAGAAGCAGATCTCAGTGTCCATGACTGTAAAGAAACACACGCTCCAGAAGCACGCACTCATCTGGTTTGCCACCTCAGTGAACTGGTGAATGATGGCTCTTACCAAATTAAAACCAGACAACGTATAAAAACTGCGGTTTCACCCTCACCCCCCCTCAGTCTCTCTTTTCTCTCTGTCTGTCTGTCTCCTTCAACTCCCCGGCGTGCCTGGCTTCAATCACTCCTCCGGTT